TCCCTTCCAAAGACAAGTGCCAGAAACTGGGAGCATCCTAACCCCCCCAAGTATCCTCTTCATTGTCTCTAGAGCTCCTTTTCCTACGTTTGCACAGCTCCGTTACTATAGCTACGCATTTATACGCAGTCGGTATAAAGACTATAGCACAAATGGCTTATGGCCGTTCTAGTGTGATGACCACCTGTATTTATACGCAGTCGGTATAAAGACTACAGCACAAATGGCCGTTCTAGTGTGATGACCACCTGTATTTATACGCAGTCGGTATAAAGACTATAGCACAAATGGCTGTTCTAGTGTGATGACCACCTGTATTTATACGCAGTCGGTATAAAGACTATAGCACAAATGGCTTATGGCCGTTCTAGTGTGATGACCATCTGTATTTATACGCAGTCGGTATAAAGACTATAGCACAAATGGCTTATGGCCGTTCTAGTGTGATAACCACCTGTATTTATACGCAGTCGGTATAAAGACTATAGCACAAATGGCTTATGGCCGTTCTAGTGTGATAACCACCTGTATTTATACGCAGTCGGTATAAAGACTATAGCACAAATGGCTTATGGCCGTTCTAGTGTGATAACCACCTGTATTTATACGCAGTCGGTATAAAGACTATAGCACAAATGGCTTATGGCCGTTCTAGTGTGATAACCATCTGTATTTTAAGCTAATTTGTCTACCTCCCTTCTGCCTTTTCACTAGTCAGGGCAACGATGACAACTCTGCCTACGTCTCTGACTTCATCAGGAAAATAAGGCTAGTTTAAGATCTGCCGCCCCGCCCCCTCTGGCTAAGCTCCTTGAGAGGATTCAATGAGTAATTAAATGCACAGGGTTTACAAGAGTGCCTGGCCCACAGAAACCACTCAATACTGTTAGCTGTCAGCCTGACAGCTGTAGCAATAGAAGTTTGAGCCAATAGGTGTGGTTAGCCCCAGAAAGCTGCCCTATAGCCAAGTTCCCGGTGGGAGAAGGGGGAGGGGGGATATGCAAGACCCATGATTGTCTTCCTGGCCACACAGAAACCTCAAACCATCGGAGGGCTGGTTCGGCCCTGGAGAGGACCACGGATGGAGACCTCATTTCCCTCCTCCCCGTGCCTCCTCCCTCTGAGTCCCAGGTCAGTCCTTGGCAGAAAGTGGTTGCTGGAGATAGATAACACGTTTCACCTGCGCTCTGAGTCCTACTTACGTTTTATTTTTGTTCATGACTTTTTTTTTTTAAAGAGCCACCTTTAGTGGGAGAGCTGGGAAGCGGCCTAGGAGGAAGCCAGGAAGCTCTTCAGCCTCACTCATTTTCGTTAAAAGTTGTTCCCAAATTTTGAGTGTACGTGTGCACCCTGCGTGCCCCTGCTCACTGTTGGCTTGTAACCCTTCTGTTCTTACTCTGGGGATTTTAGCTTCCTTCCTATGACTCTTGAGACCCTTGTAGAGACCGACTAGATTTCTTTTTCTCCTAAATGAGCCACCACGTAAAGCATGCCAGCCGATGGCTCACGCCTGCCATCCCAGCACTCGAGAAGCCATGACAGAAGGGTTTCTGTGAGTTGGAGGCCGGAATGAGCCGAATAATGAGACTCGGTCTCAAAACAAACAAACAAAAAATACCGCAAACTTCAACAAAAACCAGAAATGGTGACTGGCCTTTGCTGACGAAGCATGGGTAGGTGGAGGTGCTAAGACAGGCTCCACCTAGGGGGGCATGTGAAGTTCTGGTGACAATTAACTAAATAGAGAGCTAGCAAGGACCTCCCGAGGTCATCAACGCCAGCCTTTCTCCCCCTGACTGTCTCTGGCCTGCGCTGGCCTCCTTTCTATCTCCCAGTTCCTAAGCATGGAATCGCCCAAATGGGGACGTCGTCCATGATAACACACATCCTGGATTTCACGGTTTATCTCAACTCCAAAGAGGGCCAATGTCTCCCAATGATCTGCATTGATTACATGCTGAAATGATATTTCTGTGTTTGGTTAAATCAAATAGCTATTGCTCATCTGTAATTTGACTACCGCAGTTTCAGGCTCTACATGTGGCTGTTATCTTACTGTGAAATTGTGGGGCAGGCTCACCCAGGCCTGAGAGGATTCAGATGTGCCTTCCCCCAGCAGGGGTTCTAGAACCTTCCACCAGAACTCCTCTGGCTACCCATTTCTTCTCTGTAGTCTCCCTTCAGGCTGGTGGCTTCTGTTTCACACGGTGACTCTTCCGCATCACAGGAAGGCCCATGTGAAGAGTCCAATAATCACTTATCACTGTTAGAAGGGCAGTGACTCTATTTTCTTACCCCTTCCACTCTCTTTTTTCCAACTTGGTGATATTCTTAACGGGTTCCCTTGTGTCCTCCCTGGTTTCTCTATTTGTTTAAAACACTGTGTGTCTCAAGCCACTTACCTCGCCACTCTGACTGATGGGTCCGACGGATACAGAGACAGGGGAAGGGGTTGTTTCGTCCATTACGTACCCAGCCCATCCTTTGGATACTTCATTCCATTCAATCCAAGGAAGACAGACGCCGCTGAAACCACCCGTGACTGCAATAGAGGCTCAGAAAGGTTAAGCAGTGTAACAAAGACCCCACTACAAATTAAGTGGCAGATCTGGGATTAACTCCCATGCCTGACTCCCAGGACCATGTTTTTTCATTAGGCACCGTGCCTGCCGTGCTGATTGGCTGGTTAGCTTTCTGTTACTGTAAAGCAATATCCCAGAGCAAATCCTCTTAAAAAGAGGAAAGGGCACTTCTGACGCTCTGTTTGGAAGGCTCCAGTCCATAATGGCTGGTGAAGGAAACTACCTCAGGGCAGCTGAGAAGCAAAATGAGAGCGAGGTGAGGTAGGTTCTACCATCCACTTCAGTGGCGTACCCTGAAGTGACCGGAAAACCTCCCGGTAGACTCCATTTTGAGCATCTCCAAACTGGGGACCAAGTCCTTACCATAGGATCCTTGGAGAACTCTAGATAAAGCCACAACATCGTCTTTGAGAGTCTTGTGAAGTGGCCTTAGTGCATGCCAATGAGTCTGTAGCTTATAATCGGCTCCTTCTGACCTGTGGACTCGGTGTGAAAGCCAGTGGGGATGCCCAGCTCTGTGGATCATTGCTTCCAGAACGAGCAGGCGACATGCATCGCTTGCCATTTGAGTGAGATGGGGAAGGAAGTGATAAAGATTAGCTCTTCACGTGCATGAACCTTGAGGAAACCGTTGCGTGAAGTGAGGCATTCAATGGGATAACTGGGCAGGGCTGGTTCATGTCTGCTGTCCCGGCACTGAGAAGCTGAGACTTGAGAGTCACCCTTGAGTTCAAGGCAAGCCTGGGTTTCAGAGAGAGAGACCCGATCTCAAAAATCAACAAGACAAACTGAGGTCCCACTTGTCTGAAGTACCTAGAATGACCGGGTTCCTGGGGACGTAAAACGGAATGGCGGCGCGCCAAAGGCTAGGAAGCGGGGTGGGGGAGGTGTTTTGGTGACGCAACAAAGGACTGCAGGTAGATTGCATGTCACCGTGTCTTTAGCAGCACTGAGTTTGTTAAAAATGCTTACTATGATTCATATTTTATCATAATAAGAACAAAGAGATCTTGGGTCTGGCAGATAGGCCAGTTGGTAAAGTGCTTGCTTAAGTATGAGGGCCTGAGTTCAATCCCTGGAACCCAGGTAAAAATGCCAGACATTGTGGTGCAGGCTTATAATTCTGGCCCTGGTGAGGCAGAGATAGGAGGATCCCTGGGGCTCACTGGCCAACCAGCCTAGCCTAGTTGTCAAGTTCTGGGGGAACCTTGTCTCAAAGGATATAGATGGTGTTCCTTAGGATAGCACCCAATGTCGTCTGCTGTCCTTCACATTCACAAGCACACGCATGAATACATGTGCTACACTCATACCTCTGTCTCCGTGCCAATGCAAATTTTAAATTACGAAGAAAGCGTTTAAAAAAACCCACAAGCATCTTCATATAAAGATAGATAACCTACTAGCGTGATCCAAGGTGTCCCTGGAGCTGACCTGTGGCTCCTTTTCTCTGAGTTATTTTCTTATGAGAAAGCTACAGCTGGGTCCTTTTCTCCTGATGAGGTTTTCAGTGTAGGCAATTGAACCAGCTTCACACACATGCCTTCTCCAGCACTTAAGAGACTTTCAACAGATGTCTGGAGTGGGGAAACAGCTTCATTCCACGAGTTCCTCCATGTGGGCCTCAGTTGATGGAAATTTGCTTAGCCTTGGCCCTTGTCCATCTAGAGTTGTGCCTAGTCTTATCTAAGAAGGAAGACATGGCTGCCAATTCTCCATGGTTGGACCAAAGTAGCTGTCATCTTTTTGGAGACATAAATTAGAATTGGAGACCCCAAACATCTAAGCATTTGTTTGTTGAGTTCTTAACCCTTTTTTTAAAATGGAAATTGTATTGATTTCTATTTTACATATATGTGTTTCCTTCACGTATGTCTGTGCACCACGTGTGTGTAAAGTGCCTGAAGGAGCCAGAAGAGGGCATCAGATGCCCTGGAACTGGACTTACTGGCAGTTGTGAGCCACCTTGTGGGTGCTGGGAATTAAATCTAGGTCCCCTTGAAACGAAGCCCCAAGAATTTAGTGTTTTGAGACAAGGTCTCATGTGGTTGATGCTGCCTCTAACTTCCTAGGCAGCAGTAGATGGCCTTGAGATTATGATCCTCCTGTCTCCACCGTATGAGAACCGAGGTACAGGTGTTCACCACGATACCCAGTGCAAAGGATCAAGTCTAGGGCTCATGAGTGCTAGGCATATCTCTCCTTTCTGCACACTCTAAAATTTTTTAGCTTTATCTCATTGAAGTCCCTGGCCCCTGAAAACCTTAAGCCAGTTAACCAATCTCATACACAGGTAGTCTTGAGAAAGTTTAGGCAGGGTGCCTAAATTAGGACTCTAAGCCACAGAAATTTAGAGTGTGGTGTTAGGTGTGATTGTGGGTGTATTTGCTCATGTGTCCTGTGTACTTTCCCTTTCAGGAATCATTAACCAATGGCAACAGGAATCCAAGGATAAAGTGATTTCCCTTCTGTTAACTCACCTGCCTTTGCTGAAGCCAGGAAACCTCGACGCGAAAGTAGAGTATATGAAACTGCTGCCCAAGATCCTGGCACACTCTATAGAACACAACCAGCACATCGAGGAGAGCAGACAGCTGCTGTCCTATGCTTTGATCCACCCGGCCACTTCCTTAGAAGACCGAAGTGCTCTAGCCATGTGGCTCAACCATTTGGAGGACCGCACATCGACTAGCTTTGGCAGCCAGAACCGAGGCCGCTCGGACTCTGTGGATTACGGACAGACGCACTACTATCACCAAAGACAGAACTCTGACGACAAGCTCAATGGGTGGCAGAACTCTCGGGACTCTGGGATTTGCATCAGCGCCTCCAACTGGCAGGACAAAAGCCTGGGGTGTGAGAATGGCCATGTGCCCCTCTACTCTTCTTCTTCTGTCCCCACCACAATCAACACAATTGGAACCAGCACAAGTACGAGTAAGTCCCCCCACCCCCGCCCCTTTAATGCATTCTGGTTTGGTGACTTGCTGTGTGTGGCACGTCCTGCTGGCATCATCTGCTCTGAGCACCCCGTAACCCTGGGAGAAGAGGGCTGGTGGCAGTTGGCTGGGGGAGAGGGCCCTTTGGACCCGGTGTTTGCTGCTCTTTGGCTCTGGAAAGATGAAAATTCTGGGCAGGTTAAAATGATGGATGGTCCAAATTTGGGGGTTAGACAGACCAAAAATAAAGAAATGAGAGAAGAGAGAGTGGATGGTGGAAGAAGGAACTGTTCTGTTTCCACAAGTAAAAACACCTTTCACCCTGGGGCTCAGGGAATTGCAGACACATTGAGTTACTGCGAGCTTCTCTGAAACTGATGTTAACCCATGGTTAACCAGTCAGCCACATGGCACTGTGCATTGTCTCCTCCTCCTCCTCCTCCTCCTCCTCCTCCTCCTCCTCCTTCTCCTCCCCCTCCTCCCTCTTTCCTTCTGTATGTTTTTCTTTAAAGCAATCACCTGGAATGTCCCTTCCCCTTGCACTTTCTGGCTGAACCCCCAGTTCTTGGGTGGCCCTTGAGCAGGCTGGCTGACTGAGAATGCTGGGCTGGGTTGTGGCTGACGTGAGCACTGTGGCCTTCCTCTCACTCAGTCTAACATGTTAGGAAAGGACATCAGGAGATGCTTTGTGGGCAGGGAAAGCACATGACAGCCTCACCTCTCCTGACCGCTCTAGAGTGGGCCTGAGGGCTGGGAGGCCTTTCTATGGTGTCCTACTTAGGCCAAGCAAGGTGGCCAACTCCTCCCATGCCCGGATATAACGGTCCTGTGGGAGGGTGACTGCCATCAAACAGCTCTCCTTGGTGCTGACTTGCACATATCTGTGACTGGTGTGGCTCTCCCAGAGATAACTAGACTTTCCTGGGGGAAAGGTATTGCAGTTGGACCCAATGTGCCTGTCAGCATGCAGAAGACCCGTCTATTAAAAGGAGTGAGAAGAGGAGCTGAGAATGTAGCTCAGTGATGGGTACCTGCCTAGCTTGTGTGAGGGGTGCCTGCCTAACTTGTGTGGGTAGCTTGGTGATGGGTGCCTGCCTAGCTTGTGTGAGGCATGGGCTCAATCCCCAGCACCACAAACAGATGGAAGAAGATAAGGGAAGCTTTAAGATGAGCACTGGTGCCTTGGCCTCGCCCGAATCTTCTGGCTGTTAGACCTTTTTAAATAGTTTTCTCAAATAATTAAGAACGACAAATCATAGCTACGTTAGTCCAAATGGCATATCACTTAATCGACATTGAGGATGATGCTCTGCCTTGGGCACACTGTAAGATTTTTGTCGTTTTTCCTTTTTCTACATTTATCGATGAGTAACTTGAACAGTTGAGACTTAGGGAAGAGTATCACATTGTTGACTTAGGATGTAAGAGCCTCGTGGCAGTTAGTGTCCTTTACAGAGTCATGATCCATCAGGAACAACTTTTATCAGCCTCTGTGTAACACAGTGATGGCTGAAACTACAGCCAATGCCAAGTCTCTTAGCCTGGCTTCCCTGGGTGGCAGGATCCAGTTATGATCACAAAAGGCCTTGGGAACCGAAGAAATGCAGGCCCCTAGCAGCTGCCATCGTCTCTCTGTTTGGACACTCTGTGTCATTATCCTGAACGTAGCCTTGGATCATCGCACGCGTTATTTTGCGGGCTGGCTTACTCATCATCAGGTTTTGACAGTCCTGGCACACTGAACATGCTCATCAGATCTAGTCAGCAACCACTCCCTTGAGCAGTGACTGCCCAGCATGACAGAGAAGGTTGAGATGGCTCCCGTGTCTTCTTGCTCTTGTGTCCTTGAGCTGCAAACACCTAGAAGACAAAAGGAGTTTTGGAGCATCAGAAGAAACCGTGAAAGATCTCGCGTCTCCCTTCTAGTATTCCTGTCCAGCACTTAGGGCACATCAGCTTTGAATTTCAGTGTTTACACCCTGTATGGCCACGATAGCTCAGTTATGTCTTTCAAAACCGCAAGCCTTTAGGCCATTAGTTCAGTCATGAGTCTATAAAATACATGGCGAGTCCCGAGAGGCATCCTGAGGAATTAGAAAGCTCATGGACGTGAGTGTCAACACCCTCCAAGATCTAAAACTAAGTTCGCAGTTTGCTAACTGCAACTGGGTTGGGTTATTAGTCCCCTTGAGCAAAGCTCCCACTTGTAAAATGAGAACCTTCCTGTCTTGGTCTATGCGAAGACCATGACCTGGCCAGAGCAGCACATAGTAGGTGTGCACTAGATGGATATATGGGAGAAACTGCTGGACACTGAAAGGAGCTAAGTACTAAAGATGATGTCGTCCTGAGTGCACTGAACAGAAACATCTTTCCCTAAGTCTAGGGCCACACTGACTCAAGTAGCCTTTGTTCCAATAAATCCACTAAAAGCTAAAGATGCCATAAGTCAAAACTTTGACAAACCTCACCTGCTCAGCACTGCAACTTAGCCGGTCCTGCCTCAGATATGTTCAGAACACTTGCATTAGTCTACAGTGAGTAAAATCATCTGGCCAAGGTGATTTTTTTATTGAGTACTGAAAAGTTAAATGTTTGTATACATGTGCTTTTTTACACAGTCTCAAAGTTAACACATCATCAAGTCCAACTGTTGCAATTCTGGGACTAAATGTAGTCCAGGGGCCCGTGACTGTACTGTGACCGGCTACCCCACTGCAGTAGAAGCAGGTACAGTGTCTCCCACTGTACTGGAGAGCTGCATTTCTTCTTTCCAAGTGGGAAAAAATAACTGCTCAGAGATCACATGAATTTAAGAACCTAAATCGATTAGTGCTTCCTATTTTCAAATTATCAGCTACGTTAGTGATAGTCAGTACCCAGTAACTCATTGCACAGAGTAACACTGCAAAGTCACACCCTTACCGTTTGTTAATTATTTAAGATTTATTATTTTATTTTACACGTGTGGGGGTTTGCCGGCACGCATATCTGTGAACTTTGCAGATGCCTGGTATCAAGGGAGGCCAGAAAAGGGCATCGGATACCCTGGAACCGGACTCACAGATGGTTGTGAGCAGAGATGTGGGCGCTGGAAATTGAGCCTGGATCCTATGGAAGAGCAACAAGTGCTCGTCTTTTCATTTTTAACCTACTTTCAGTCCAGTGACTTAATTTATATCCCCTTAGGCCACTATATCTTCCAAAAAGTGGTTTTGTGACCTCTTCCCTATACAGGTCCCCAGTCCTCCCTGCAAATAGTTTCCGTCTGTCTGTCCTGGGCTGAGACGGCTGGAATCCATGGGAAAGGCAAGGCTCCTGTTTGCAGTGACAGAGAGGCTGTGCCAATCAGTGTCATCATTTAAAAAAGATCAAATATTTCTCTCTGTCTGATTTACTATCCAAAGAACGCCAACTTCCCGAGTTATATGAAAAGCAAAGTGTAAAATGATCCATAGAGGCCCATCCAGCGTCTGTAGGGTCAGGGTTATTTGTGGGGTTGGCTGTCTTGGCCTATTTTGCGTAGTTATAACAGAATACCATGGCCTGGGTAATTTACACACCAGAGAAGTGTATTTATTTGGCTTATGGTTCTGGAAGATGGGAAGACAAAGAGGCACCACTTCTGGTGAGGGTCTTTTCCAGCCTGGCAAATGGCGCAGATGGCGTCTCATGGGGCGCGAAGAATGGCTGTGAATGTTTGCGAGGAAGAACGGAACTCACTTTTGTAACAAAACAGCATTAATTCATAATGGCAAAGCCCCGCAACCTTATTAGTTCGCCAAGGTCCCTCTTCTCAACTCGGTTGCCTCGGGACCAGGCTGCTAGTTCACGAACCTTGGGAAACACATTCAGACTGCAGCAGGCTCTCTTCTGCAAGGGCTATGACTGTCTGGAGTGGGAAGATTCTCGTGACCTGGGGGTGTGGACGGGGTCAAGGTTTAACAGAGGAAATGGGGAGTGGAGAGGAAAACGGGAAGAGGGCTTAGGGAGGAATGTCCATTCTGAGCAGAGGGACGGAGTGGTAGGCGTGCGGGCTGGTTGGGAGAGGGTGGAGAAACTGGAGAGCTCGCGAAGGGAGGGAAGGGCGTCCATGAGTGCAGACTGCAGGAGGGGGCCTGTGAGCACTGCCCAAGAGGCTCAACAGTGTGAGCACAAAGGGTGCAAAGCCAGTGAATGTCAAAGCTTGTGTTGTGAGATCATACAAGCATCAGTAGGATGAGCAGGAAAAAAGCAGCAGGGAAATTCTAGGTGGTTACACGTGGCTGGTAAGATTGTAAACTAGTCCACCGTGGAAACCAGTGTGGAGGCTCCTCAGAAACCAGTGATGGGGAATGGAGAGATGCCTCCACAGCCGTGAACTCACTGCTCTTCTAAAGGCCAGAGTTTGGTTACCAACACCCTAACTAGTCACTGACAACTTCCAGTAACTCCAGCTTCAGGGAATCTAGTGCCCTCTTCTGGTCTCTATGGGCATTGCAGTCACATGCACATACCTACACAAAGACACACGGATACATAGTTTAAATTTTTAATTAAATAATCCTAACAATTCATAGTTTATATGACACAGCTAAACCACTCCTGAATGTTACTTACAACACTATTTAGAGAAGCTAAATTATAGAACTAACAGGTGTCCAGCAACAAAAGAATGAAGAAAGAAAATGTGTGGGTGCACAGGAGGAAACTTTCCTCAGTCACTCATACACACACACACACACACACACACACTAGTTATATATAAAACTTGCAAGTACAAAGGTGTCTGGGGGAGAGGGATGGGACTAATAGGAGGGCAGGAAAGTGAGAAAAGGGGATAGAAAGGCGTAAGGGGAAGTGTGTTCAAAATATATTTTGAAAAGTAGAAAGAGCAATTGTTCCTCGGTGAAATTATTACACAAACTCAGTGTTGGGCTTGGATAAACATTATTGATTGACTCATTTGTTTGTTCATGTAGAAAATGTTTATTGAAACTTCCGTAGGCCTGGGCTGCT